GGATCAGACTAATCATTGAAAATGTCAGAAAGGAGGATTTTGGAAACCACACCTGCTCAGTGAGCAAACAGCATGAATACTCTGACTTCATCATTCAACTTTCCCGCATTGCAAGTGAGTGCCGACTGTGCCTTTGTAAACCTATTGCTGTACTGTGATCTGGCATCTGGGCAATTTCCATCACAGGATCAACCTTTCAGTGTGGTTCCTTAATACTGTACATGATTGAGTTATAAAAATTCACAATACCTCGTGTCTACAAAAGTACACCAAATGATGACTCAAAAGTTACTATTCTTTTCGCACGCTTTTCAGAAAATATAGCCTGGGGCAAGAATTTGCTTTGGTTCAGTTACAGTAGGCAAGCTGACTTCCCTAAAATTCACTGTACTTTGAATGTACTTTCTGAGCACAGCATTGTATAGTATGAACTTGTGCATTTTCTTTTCTTTGATGTGTAGGAATTCTTATGCCCAGTGAAGATAATAAAAATGGGGTAAATCCAGGTAGGATTTTTCTTTCTTCTTTTATGGTGAGCGGACGTGGGTTTACTGTAAATATGATGTCCGTATGGATGCATTTTCTTCAGATACTATGGGAGGCAAAGTACTCTTTGTCCAGTATCTTTACTATTACAATTACTTTCTTGCTTTAGTCACTCTTGCTGTTGCTGTGGACCAGGGATCCCAATCTATTTATTCTTATAGGGCAATTGGGGTGACCTGTTTAAAGATTAGTAACATTTGTTTAAGCCATTGAAGAAATCAATCAAGCAAGGTTTCAATGGAAGAGAACACTAGTCCTTGCAGGTTGAAAGATATTCTTGTTTTTGTTCCAAATTAGATCAGCTTTAATTGAACACATCCCCTGTTTAATCCATGTTAGTGAAATTGTTGCAGGTGACCTCTTAATCCTGCTGGACTGGGGCTCCCCAGGCCTGGGCTGGCCGTGCTGCAGCCCCGTATCTCTCCGTCATGGTCCTGGTAGGCCCATATGAAACCCTCCACTGCAGGAGTGTTGTTGCAAAGAGATTTGACAAACAGGACACTGCCGGTTCTTAATGGATGGCTAAGTACTGGTGTGTTTTGCCTAGTAGAGACTCCTACTATCCAATGTCTTTAAGAGGCAGAAAAAAGGTTTTGCTCATCTACAGATCAATTAGACTGGCAAAATCCTAGCCAGGACAAAAATGAGTAGACAAAGGAGTTCACCAAGGCCATCGTGAAAAGCACTGGCTTTGCTCAGTCAACTTACAAAGGTTATTTGTGTTGAAGCTCTCGTTAGATGTGCGTCTCAGAATTCCTCTTGCCTCATGGTGTTTCTTTTCCATCCCCAGCACACACAGTCATCACTCTGATCCTCTTCAGCTGCCTGCTGAGCGCTCTGACAGCGCACCTCTGTAGATGAAGAAGCAGAAGGGCCTTCTGGACGTGAGAAACTGAATGCGACGCAACTTCAAATCTCGCTGTTTTGCTCCTGAAAAATAAATTCAAAATGCCTCTGCAATCTCCACTGTGCTACGCACCTGGGCAACACGGAAAGGTTGTGTTTTTGTTCTTTTTTAAGAATAAAAAGTGAGTTGTGGATTTTCATAGGGGTAGTGGTGATCTGCCACCACTTGTCATTAATGGCCAGTCTGTGGAGAGAGTGGACACCTTCAAGTGTCTTGGCCTGACCATCTGCCCCTCACTGAAGTGGGAAGTTACTATCAGCAGGAAGATATCATTGTCATGAAGAAAGGCCTTCAAAGGCTGGACTCCCTATAACCACAGTTAATCAGGAACCAATGACTCAGTTCTGTAGAATACTGTATGTGTTTTGTTCATTTTGTTGTTTTTATCTGTGCTGCACTGATGGCACATTCCAAATACTGTAACTTTGGAATTAGAGAAATTAATCAAAATAAAAGGCTCTATAAATTGTCAATTTGTGTGTACAACATACCCACACTGCAACATGTTGGGTGCCTATATGGAGCAAATCTCCCTTTAATTTAATTCGTTTTTCTTTTGCAGTATTTTAAACTAACGATCATGTCTAAAAGACCAAACAGAGCCTGTCCATGACATTTCGTTAGAGGACTGTGGTGTTTGTTTTAATCGAGCTTTTAATTCTGTTACTTTATGGTCTTACAATGTAAATTCATTTTCTGGCTGTTGTTTTACCA